CATTTATTTTCATCTCAAGTTTGATTTTATACGACTCTTTTGATTTATGCAGTTCCATTTTATACGACTCTTTGATCCCTGGTCTTGTGTGAAATGGATGTTGAAAGGTGTCACTGTTGGACAAGAGACAGTACGGACAGGTCAAAGCAATGGGAACATAATTATTGATTCTGGGACGACGTTGACAATGCTTCTATCAGGCTTTTATGAGCAGGTTGAAGCTTTGGTGAAGCAAACCATTGGGGTCGACCAATTCATAGTACAGAACGATCAATACAAATTGTGTTACAGAAATGCTAACTCCATCCAGAATTTCCCAAATTTTGATGTTCATTTCACAGGAGCCATCCTTTCCTTAAAACCTCAGAACTTTTTCCCTCGCATATCCAACGATGTTATATGCTTTGCAATGCTTCCTATAGATGGCATGCCCATATATGGAAATGTGGCTAAGATTGATTTTGAGGTGGAGCATCATCTTGATCAGAAAAAGTTCTCTTTTGCTCCTGTCGATTGTACTAAACAACAGAGATTCTATGACTTGGTTTGGATTGAAAAAAATAATAATAATAGAAGGAAAATATAGAGGGGGAGAGAATACTATGAATAAAAACTTTTTCCTCTAATTTTCTTCTCATCCAAACCAAGTACCAGCAAGAGTTATACGCTTCATGAATAATGTACTTGACTGACTAGCTCAAGTGAACGTAGGCATTGTAAACCGTCTCTCTCTCTCTCTCTCTCTCTCTCTATATATATATATATATAGACACACACATATATGTATAAGCATGTATATCGTGCTTTTGGAAGTATCTAAGTGGGAATGTCTGTAATTATGAATTAGTATTTGAGAATATAAAAGAAGACTTAAAACACGTAACTAAATTAAATGGCAAGACGGAAGAGGAGTATGTAATACTTGTCATTTTATAACGTGATATCTTTAATTTAAGTAAAAGAAACACTTATTTTTTACAAATAACTTATTTAACTAACTTTTTTAGAAAAAAACTTAGGTCAAGTTCCTTATATTTATTATGTCAAGTTCTCCAATCATACATGAATATGTCCTTTTTTGTTCATAATTAAACAATATTAAATGCTAATATTTAAAAAATAGATGACACATAATCATGTGTGATAGGAGAACTTAACATAATGGATATAAGAAACTTGATGTAAGTGTGGTCATTTTTTTTAATCCATCCAAGTAGATCTTATATTAATTAAGGATGTGAGGTAGTATCTTTTTTTTATTTTAGATTATAGCTTGCCGCGCGTTTATCATGTATAAATTAATAAGCTTTAAATATTTTGTACTAAACAAACGACATGAATGGATAATAGAAATTCTTGCAGTGACATTATACATGAATCTTTATTTTGCGATGTGAATGATTAAGTGAAATGGTGGTTGACTAAGTTGACGTTGCAAATAATCAAGACTCAAGTAAAATGACTTGAAATATAAAATGACATAACAAAGACAGCTTCAAAAGTTACTGTATTGTCCTATTTATATGACACTTTCAGCATATTTTACATAGATCAAGAAAAACTTTAGACTGCATTAATTCTCATTTAAAATATGACAACTTGTTAACTTTATCCCATTTAATATACAATTCTTTCAAAAAAAAATCATCTACATTATAATAAACAAAGGACAAAATAACACATTCATACTAAAAATTTAATTGAGTTATAAATAAGAAAGAGAAAAATCTTCTGTTTTTACCTTATAAATAGGACCAAATGAGTATAAATTATCATCACCTTTTGAATGTGATCCACTAAAACTCTCATGCATATCTAAACTATTTTGAAAACAAGATGATCCAGCGGGTTCCTTCGTGCAGAGGGAACTATTCAAAACACTCCTTAGAGTTTGTTTGGATTCTCAAAAGCCAATTAAAAAAAGCTCAAAAGCTAATTTTGAGGCAAAATATTAAACCTGGAGTCACATTTTTGGGTTAGAAAAACCAAATAGGTATTCAAACTAACTTTTTACGAAAATATAAATCACATTCCACACTAATTGGCTTTTGCCTTGTCATTGACCTTGCAATTACAGTACTACTACGAAAAGTTACATAAGTAGTACATGTTTTATAGTGTTTATCTGACTAAATGCTGCAGAATTAGAGTAAAATTAGAGTCAATTTTGCAAACCTTAATCCAAACAAGCCCCGTGGTTTTATTTCCAAGTCCAAACGGATGCTGTCCATGAACTGGCATCACCCCTCATACGACATCTCTATAAAGTGATCTTATGGAGTGTTGACAACAAACATAGACTTGCGACATTATTAATTTGATTTGTACGAGGGAAAGAGATCAGGCTAGCTAGTATTGAAGAAATTGTTGAAGAGCATTGGTGGAACGCAAGTTATTATAAACGGCATGCCAACCAGCTTGTGTTGGATGCATCAAATCCCAGAAAAAAGCCGACTTAGGATTGTCGCCCGCTTTGTATTTCTTGGCCATGGTCTTGTCGTCCACGCTTCCACAGTCGTACTGCCTGCCCATCCCAACGCAACAAGGATTTAAAAGGTTTTTTTATGTCATCGGTGGAGGGATGGTTCAGTACGGACATGAAACTGTGGAAGAGGTCTAAAACGACAAAGCTGGAATTGTCGTTGGCTTCTTCCCTTCAATTTGGCCAGACCCTGGCTTAAGAGGGTGTTGTGGTGATTGGCGAAGGTGTTATGAGTAGAGTTGCACAGCGAAAATGAGGATGAAGCTGTCGTTTTCAGGAGGCAGCCTACTGCTGGTTGAACACCACTCACCACAATTTTCTTCACAAAATTTTATATTTTTTTTCCATGTGTCTTTTTTCATTGGTGTTGAGTTAACACAAAATTTTAAGCGAGAAAGCGAGAGCCTGGGTTGGAATTTTTAGTCATGCCATCCAACAAATTGAGTTATGAGGCCATTGATCTGTGGAAAATAAGGTAAGCTTTGGAACGACGTCGGAATAGTCAAGACTCAAGTTTCATGCTGGCAAGGCAAGTGATACGATTTGACATGTAAAATAATGACATGACAAGTGCTCCATCCAATCCTAAATATAAAATCTGTATAACTATTTATTTTATAGATATTAAGTAATATTTAGTTAAACTAATTATTTGTAATATGTGTATTATTTATTCTAAAATATCTCCTTAGTTAATACTACCTTTGGTCCTTCGTATAAAAGTTAATCAGAAATTTAGTTTGGTCTTAAATATAAGATCCTAATCTATTTTAATTTGTCTCTAATATTTATTTATTTTTCCCCAAATAGTCCCTATACTAACTGTGCATTTTAAGAAGTTTTCATTAAGCGACTCCAATACAACACACATGATTAACAATGACACAAAATTCATTTAGTACAGCTAATTATCTTAACTATTTTTCTTAATCTTTATAAATTGGTAATATAGCTCTTATATTAATGATTGAAGATAGTACTTACATTTTGTAATACTCCCTTGATAGAAAATCCTTTGACACAAATAATTATTAGGTAGAGTTTAGAAAATATGTTACTCCTCCGGCTCTAAATATAAGACCCTTAGTGTAATTTTTCGTAATGTAAATTATACTACGAAAAATGTCTTATATTTAGGACTGGAGGAGTATAAATTTAAGAGGTGAAGAGAATAGGGACTCAGTTTCGGTGCTAAGCATGATGACGAGCACTGACAGCTCATCATCTATGCGCATCGTTTTAACAAAGTCAAGAACGAGTTCCCTCTATTCAATTGCCATGCAACGTCTTTCTCTGAGATAAAGTCAAGGATGTTCCCTCCATTCAAGGCAAGTTCTATTTTTTTCTTTTTTAATAATATGCAAGTTCCAAGTTTTCGCTTCTCTTCTTCTTCGAAGAAAGTACCAGGGCCAGTCTTTAATCAAAGTCTCCTGCAGAAAACTCGAATGTTTCAACAGAAACCTCCTCCGCTGTTGTTTAAGGGCAACTTTGGTTTGGATACCAACTCTCCTTTTCATGAGGCAGCCATTCAAGAAAAACTGGATATTTTCTCAATTAAAAGGCAAGTCTCAATCTGCCCCAAAGCACAATCACAGGATGTCATCGTCTCGTACTTTCTGCAGCTCTTAGACTTTTACTTTTGATCATTTTAAAGTAGCTGCTTTGGCTAGTCCTGTTTTATCTAGTGTAATGAACCTTTAAATCTGTATCTCTACTTAATTAATGCATTTTTCCTTTTCATTAAAAAAAAAAGGAAAAATACCCACGGCGACAGTCCCAGCAGAAGCAGAAGCAGAATCAAAAAATGTCTCTGAAAGATCAAGACAACGAATTTTTCAAGCCAGAGAAGTCAAAGTCGCAACACCTTGCACCCCAACTATCAAGCAAGATCCTTCAAACCTACTCTCTATAGGCACCTCCTGAAGCATCTTGCTGAGATTATTGATCAGGTGTTTACCTGCGCATGACAATGATGCCCAAGAAGAAAGGGGAACGAAGAGAGAAGACTAAAACTGCCCACACCTTCAGAATTCTAGATCGCTTATCATCGAACGGTCAAGATCATTTTGAACTTTAACGCAACCGTGCGTAGCGGTGATCAGCTCCTTGTGCTCATCAAGCTGCTTCACACTTAAACTCGTTCAAGAAAATTAGAGTTTTATATTTAAAATCAAAATAAATCCTCCTACTAGGCTTTATATTTAAGACGGAAGATATAGAAATGTTTGGATTGGCGTTAGGCAAAATTGGCTTCTAGTCTAATTGACTTTTGTAATTGAAGTTGGAATAAAAGTCAGTTAGTTTGTTGGGTGCTTTTCAAGATATTGACAACTCATTTTATTGTAGAGATTTTTTTTTTAGGAGTCTAGCAGTTCCAGAAGAAAAACAATTAAGGGAGCTTTATTAAAAACAACGTAATTAATTAAGCATGAAAGATATAATCACTTTACAAACAACTCAAACTTTTCTATATAAAGAAGCACCTCAACCTTCTTCCTTGCTCATCAAATCTGCTCAGTTTTATTCTTAGCTTCCAACATGCTTCCTCATCATTCCCTCTCTTTCGCCCTTCTTCTCTTTCTTTCCATCTTTGTCTTTAATGTCACTGCAGCAAATAATAAGCTCCCAAAAGGTTTCAGCATCGACCTCATTCATCGTGACTCCCCATTATCACCTTTCTACAACTCCTCGATGACCCGCTCGGAGCGATTTCAAAACGCTGCGTTGCGCTCCATGTCTCGAGCTAATCGCTTTGGCCAGTCTTCCACGGCTGAAACAAGCGAGTTAGTAGAAACTGATATACTCCCAAACGATGGAAGTTATCTCATGAAGATATCTGTTGGGACTCCACCTGTAGAGAGGTTGGCACTCGCAGACACAGGAAGTGACCTTATTTGGTTCCAGTGTTCACCTTGTCCCAAGTGCTATCCTCAAAACGCACCCCTCTTTGATCCAAAAAGTTCTTCCACTTATATGACTCTCTTATGTGGCTCAGACCCTTGTAAAGCTTTGCCCCAAGTCAAAGTGCAAGGCCAACAGTATCCTAAATGTGGAACATCAAATGAGTGTACCTATTTCTATTCGTATGGGGATAAGTCATACACAATAGGAGAATTGGGTACAGAATTAGTTAGTTTCGGCCAAGCTACTTCATTTCCTAAGACGGTGTTTGGGTGTGGACACAACAATAATGGACTATACAACATGAACAACACAGGACTTGTTGGGCTTGGTCAGGGTTCTTTGTCGTTAGTTTCACAAATGGGTAACGTGGGTCGCAGATTCTCCTATTGTCTGCCTCCTTACAGTGCAAAAACCACAACTAAACTAAGGTTTGGGGAAGAGGCAGCCATATCAGGAAATGGGGTTGTGTCCACTTCGTTGATCACAAAACCTGGTTCCCTGTCTTCGTTTTACTTCCTCAACTTGGAAGGTACTACTTGTATTATGCTTTACTCTGAGGTGATTCATTTATTTTCGTGTCTAGTTAGTTTTATAATCTTGACTTGTTCCCTGGCCTAATAGTTTTGTGTGAAATGGCCATTCATCGACAGGTATCACTGTGGGACAGCAGACAGTGCGGACAGGTCAAAGCAATGGGAACATATTTATTGATTCTGGGACGACATTGACAATGCTTCCATCAAGCTTTTATGAGCAGATTGAAGCTTTGGTGAAGCAAGCGATTGGAGCCAACCAATTCATAGTACAGAACAATCATTACAAATTGTGTTACAGAAATGCTAACTCCATCCAGAATTTCCCAAATTTTGAGGTTCATTTCACAGGAGCCAACCTTTCCTTAAAACCTCAGAACTTTTTCCCTCACATAGCCAACGATGTTATATGCTTTGCAATGCTTCCTACAGATGGCATGCCCATTTACGGAAATGTGGCTCAGATTAATTTTGAGGTGGAGCATGATCTTGATCAGAAAAAAGTTTCTTTTGCTCCTGGCGATTGTACTAAACAGTAGACATTCTATGACTTGGTTTGGATGAAATAATAATAGAAAAAGGAAAATATAGAGGGAGAGAGAATACTATGAATAAAAGCCCTCTAATTTTTCTTCTCATCCAAACTAAGTACCAGTAATATAGTTATGCGCTTGATGAATAATGCACTTGACTGACACAGCTCAAGTGAAACATAGGCATTGTAAACCCTCCCTCTCTCTCCTTGTATATATGTGCGCGCGCGCATGTATATCCTGCTTTCGGAAGTATCTAAGTGAGAATGTCTGTAACTATGAATTAGTATTTGAGAATATAAAAGAAGACATAGCTAAATTAAATCACAAGACGGAAGAGTATGTAATACCTGTGATTTTATAATGTGATATCGTTAATTTAAGTAAAAGAAACACTTTTTTTTTACAAATAACTTATTTAACTAATTTCTTTAGAAAAAACTTGAGTCAAGTTCTTTATATTCATTATCTTAAGTTCTCCAACCATGTGTCCTTTTTGTTTATAATTAAACACTATTAAATGTTAATATTTGAAAAATATATGACACATGATTATATACGATCGGAGAACTTGACATAATGGATATAAAGAACTTAATGTAAGTATTGTCTTTTTTTTAATCTACCTAAATTAATTAAGTAGATCTTATATTAATTAAGGATGGGAGGTAGTCTTTTATTTATTTATTTTAGTTTATAGCTTGTCGCGCGTTTATCATGCATAAAGTAATAAGCTTTAAATATTTTGTGCTAAACGAACGACATGAATGTATAATAGAGATTATTGCAGTGACATTTTATATGAATCTTTATTTTGCGATATGAATGATTAAGTGAAATGGTGGTTGACTAGGTTGCCGTCGCAAATAATCAAGACTCAAGTAAAATGACTTGAAATGTAAAAATGACATAACAAAGACAGCTTGAAATACTACTGTATAGTTCTATTTATATGGTACTTTCAATATATTTTACATAGATCAAGAAAAACTATAAACTGTATTAATTCTTCTTTAAAATATAACAACTTTCAAATTTTACTCCTATTTAATATATATTCTTTAAAAAACTTATCTACATTACAATAAATGAAGGATAAAACAAGACATTCATACTAAAAATTTAATTGAGTTATAAATAAAACTAAGAAAAATCTTTTGTCTTTGTCATATAAATAGGACCAGAGGAGTATAAGTTATCATCACCTTTTGAATGTGATCCACTAAACTCTCATGCATAGATAAACAATTTTGAAAACAAGACAATCCGGCCGGTTCCTTCACGTGGAGGGAACTATTCACAACACTCCTTAGAATTTGTTTGGATTGTCAAAAGCCAATTAAAAAAAAGATCAAATGCTAATTTTGAGGCAAAATATTAAACCTGAAGTCACATTTTTTGGGTTACAAAACCAAATAGGTATTCAAACTGACTTTTTACGAAAACATAAATTACATTCCGCACTAATTGGCTTTTGCCTGGTTATTGACCTTGCAAAATGCAATTAGAGTACCACTACGAAAAGTTGCATAAGTAGTGCATGTTTTATATATAGTGTTTATTTGACTAAATCTTATAGAGTAGAGTAAAATTAAAGTCAATTTTGCAAACCTTAATCCAAGAACAAGCCCAGTGGTTTTATTTCCAAGGCCAAACGGATATTGTCCATGAACTGGCATCACCACTCACATGACATGTCTGTGAAGTGGGCAACAAACACAGACCTGCAACGTTATTAATTTGATTTGTACGAGGGAAAGAGATCAGGCTAGCTAGTATTGAAGAAATTGTTGAAGAGCATTGGTGGAACGCAAGTTATTATAAACGGCATGCCAACGAGCTTGCGTTGGATGCACCAAATCCCAGAAAAAAGCCGACTTAGGATTGTCTCACACTTTGTATTTCTTGGCCATGCTCTTGTCTTCCACAATCGTACTGCCTTCCCATCCCAACGCAACATGGCTTGAACAGTTTCTTTATGTCATAGGTGGATGGATGTTTCAGTACGGACATGAAACTGTGGAAGAGGTCTAAAACGACAAAGCTGGAATTGTCGTTGGCTTTTTCCCTACAATTTGGCTAGACCTTGGCTTAAGAGGGTGTTGTGGTGATTGGCGAAGGTCTTATGAGTAGAGTTGCACAGCAAAAATGAGGATGAAGCTGTCGTTTTCAGGAGGCAGCCTACTGCTGGTTGAACACCACTCACTACAATTTTCTTCACAAAATTTTATATTTTTTTCCATGTGTCTTTTTTCATTGGTGTTGAGTTAACACAAAATTTTAAGCGAGAGAGCGAGAGCCTAGGTTGGAATTTTCAGACTTTCAGTTATGCCATCGAATAAATTGAGTTATGGCGCCATTGGTCTGTGGAAAATGAGTTAAGCTTTGGAACGACGTAAGAATAGTCAAGACTCAAGTTCCATGCAGGCAAGGCAAGTGAAATGATTTGAAATGTAAAATAATGACATGACAAATACTCTCTCCAACTTTGAATATAAATCAATATAACTCATTTATAGATACTAAGCAATATTTAGTTAAACTAGTTATTTATAATAAATGTGTATTACTTATATTCTAAAATACCTTCTTATTTAATACTACCTCTAGTTCTTAATACAAGAATTAATTAGAGATTCAATTTGGTCTTATATATAAGACCCCAATCTACTTTAATTTGTCTCCAACATTTATTCATTTTTCTCCAGGTAGTCCCTATATTGATTGTGCATGTTAAGAGGTTTTCATTAAGTGACTCCAATATAGTGCACATGATTAACAATGATACAACATTCTTTTATTACAACTAACTATCATAACTATTTTTCTTAATTTTTATGAATGGTAATCTAAATCTTATATTAATGACTGAAGATAGCACTTACATTGTGTAATACTCCCTTGATAGAAAATCCTTTGACATGTATAATTATTGGGTAGAGCTTAGGAAAGATGTTATATTTAAGAGACAAACAGAATTGGGGTCTTATATTTAAAACTAAAATAAATCCCCCTACTAGGCTTTATATTTGAGATGGTAGGTATAGTTTGCTGGGTGCTCTTTAAGATATTGAAAACTCATTTTATTGCAGAGAATTTTTCTAAGGAGTCTAGCAGTTCCAGAAGAAAAACAATTAACGGAGCTTCATTAAAAAGAAAAAAAACTCCGTAATTAGTTAAGCATGAAAGATATAATCACTTTACAAATACCCTGTTTTATAAAGATTAGCCAAAAGTATTTTGTAAGTAGGTAAGTAAAGAATATTGGGGGCAATTACGAATACGATAATTAATAATTTCGAGTGAAGTTAGCTTTACGACTTTATCTTACATAGGATCGGAAAAGCGTTAAATCAATAAATATATTGCTTTTATCTTAAAGAAATTGAAAAATTGTTAATTGATAGTAACTTCTTACTTTGTAACCCAAAGATCACCCACTTTTCTATATAAAGAAGCACCTCAACCTCCTTCCGTGCTCATCAAATCTGCTCAGTTTTATTCTTAGCTTCAAACATGCTTCCTCATCATTCCCTTTCTTTCGCCCTTATTCTCTTTCTATCAACCTTTTCCATTAATGTCTCTGCAACAAATAATAAGCTCCCAAAAGGTTTCAGCATCGATCTCATTCATCGTGACTCACCATTGTCACCTTTGTACAACTCCTCAATGACCCACTGGGAGCGAGTTCAAAACGCTGCATTGCGTTACCTGGCTCGAGTCAATCGTTTTCGCCAATCTTCTTCCAAAAATGCAGCTGAAATAAACGAGCAGCTAGCTCAAACAGATATAATCCCAAACTATGGAAACTATCTTATGAAGATCTTCATTGGCAGCCCACCTGTAGAAAGATGGAGTGTTGCAGACACAGGAAGCGACCTGATTTAGGTCCAATGCTCACCTTGTCCTCAATGCTACCATCAAGATGTCTCATTGTTTGATCCCACAAAATCTTCCACTTACAAGTCTGAGTCTTGCGGCTCAAGAAACTGTGCTCTTCTTCCTCAGCGTCAACATAAATGCAGAAACTCGAACCAGTGTTTGTTCCTTTACTTATATGGAGATCAGTCTTACACGGTGGGAGATTGGGCTGCAGATTCAATCCGTTTTGGCACTAGCGATGGCCAATCTGTTTCGTTCCCTAAGTCAGTGTTTGAATGTGGACATAACAATCTTGGGAAGTTCAATAGGCGTATGGCAGGATTTGTTGGACTAGGTAATGGCCCTTTATCCCTAATTTCACAACTTGGTAATCAGATTGGTCGCCAATTTTCCTACTGTTTGCCTCCTTTCAACGCAAAGGCTGCGACTAAGTTGAGATTTGGAGAGGAAGCCAAGATATCAGCAAATGGGGTCGTGTCCACTCCCATCATCACGAATCCTAATAATCCCACCTTTTACTATCTCAATCTTGAAGGTATACGTATGTGTTTTACTTTGAGATTAATGTTACTCTCTCTTGCGTATTTTCATTTTAAAGTTTTGAACTTGCGAATTCAAATGATTCTTGAAACAGGATAATAAAGTGGGAGAATTCAATACTTTAAGCTTTAAATGTTTTGTACTAAACGTTGTATAGTGATATTATGTATGAATCTTTATTCTGCCGTATGAATTATCTAAGTGGTCATTGACAAGTATCACCATTGGGCAACAGACAGTGCAGGTTGATGAAAGCAACAGAAACATAATAATTGATGCTGGTACGGCATTGACACCTCTTCGGTCAAGCATTTATGAGCAGGTTGAAACTTTGGTGAAGAAAGCCATTGGAGCCAACCAGTGGATAGTGCAAAACCCTCAATTAAATCTGTGTTACACCGATGTCAACTCTATCGAGAATATTCCAAACTTTGAGGTTCATTTTACAAGGGCTAACATTTCCTTAAAACCTCAGCACTTATTCCTTCTCGTATCCAACGATGTGATATGCCTTGCAATGTTTCCCACTGATGGAGATTCCTTTTATGGAAACGTAGCTCAGATTGGCTTCGATCATGATCAGA